TGTTTTATCTTCAGTATTAATACTGAAAATAGATCCTTGGAGGAAGCCAAGGACAAGCATGATCAGACCAGCCAAGACCATACCTGGTTAGGTAAACTGGGCAGGCTGAAAAGGATAATAGCAGCCAAGATTTAGTGGGCACTGACCATGTGCCAGACGCTGTAATCGGTGCATTACGTTCATTAATTAATTTTATCCTCACAGTATTTCCTGAAGTAGATTTACCAACCTACTTCTCTTATTAAACTCTTACTCCCCCCCATTTCCAGATGGGGAGAACTGAGACTCAAGAGGGTTGAATGGTTCACCCACGATCTGATGGTCACGCTCTTCACCACTCTGTTGCCTGTAACCACTTTTGTGCTCTCAGCCCCACGCCCTAGAGACAGCACTGTGTCATGTGGTCAGACTTTGATCTCCCAAGTATGTATTCCTGTTGGATGGACTTTTTTCTCCTTAGCCTCTTAAATGACATTCCCTCTAAATCAACCGCACATAAGCATGTGTGGAATGAATGAGTTTATCTAGTTCCACATCTCCCTCTGTGTGAGGTGACCTGTCCTCAAGTACAGTAAACACTTACCAACAACCTCGTTGCCTCTGCTCCCTACCCCAGCCCTGCACAGTTAGAAGTGTTAGAAGTGATTTCTTTCAGGATCTCTTTTTTGTTACTTTATTTATTTGTGTGTTTATTTCTATACACACACACACACACACACACACACGTGTGTACACATGTGCTTGATGTCAGCTCAGGTCATGATCTCAGAGCCTCAGGCTCCGTGCTGGGCGTGGAGCCTACTTAAGATTCTCTCTCCCTTTCCTTCTGCCCCTCCCCACTATCCGACCATCCCCACCACCCCCGCCCCTACTTGCACGTGCGAGCTCTCTCTCTCCCTCTCTCTCTCAAAAAAAAAAAGAAAAACAGTATTTAAGACCTCTGCAGATTGTCTTTTAAATCATGGTGGTGATACTGATCTGCTGAACTATGGGGCTGCTGTGAAGATTAATAAGCAAGTTAACAAAGTATTATTCAGGGTCTCTTTATTACTATTATTACTTCCATTGATGGGTAGGTGTATGTGAAGTTAAAAGTATGAATTTTAAATCTCTATTTGTGGCAAAGTCTGGGAGACAGTGGCACTTTTCTTAATGTTTTGTTACATAAACATCTGCAGCATCCCTGGGTTTAGGGGTAAATCAGACATGTCAGGATATGGAATGACTGCTAGGAAATCAGTAGGGGATCACCTCAGACAGCCAGAGTCCATTCTCCTGGGGCCTCTGAACACAGGACACTTACTGATTTCAGCAACTGCTTTTTCTTTGAGTTGGGATTTGGTATCATGAATATAAAACTTTAGTTGTGGGGCGCCTGGGTGGCTCAGTCGGTTAAGTGTCTGCCTTCGGCTCAGGTCATGATCCCAGGATTCTGGGATCGAGCCCCGCATCGGGCTCCCTGCTCCATGGGAAGCCTGCCTCTCCCTCTCCCACTCCCCCTGCTTGTGTTCCCTCTCACACTGTGTCTCTCTCTGTCAAATAAATAAAATCTTTAAAAAACAACAACAAAAAAAAAACTTTAGTTGCAGCCCCTAAAAGCATTCAGTCACTTAATTAGAACGATAGTCCTTTAAGACTTTGGTCTTTAAATACACCAAAAGCTCACATGACTTTTGAGCTCTAGTTTATATAATTTTGCTCTGGTTCCTGCTGTGTTGTCTGAATTGAGAAATTAATCTCTATAGCATCAAGTGATCTGTTGTAAAAATCTGTAATAGTGTGTATTTTAAGCATCCTGTTGTCTGTTTAAAAAAGTAATAATGAAAAATCTCATCGTTTTAGACAACTTTCTGCCTCTCAAGAAATTATAACCAAACAGAAATCTGAGTTTACATTGTTTTCTAGGCTTTTATTGTCAAAACATTTCTTGCAGCGATAATGCTCTTAAGCTTTTTGAAGTATCACCTGCAAAGTGATTTGTTAATCAGATTACTTTTATTTCACAATGCTCTGCTTTATCTGGGAAGTATATTAACATCAGTAGTTACTATAGCCTATAAGCTACTATATATCCAACACCTTCAAATTGTTCTTACTGAAAACTATATAAAGGACTTTTTAGGGTTCTTCGGAACCTACAGTTTAAAACGAGGGAGTGGTGTTTGCTGGCTGGTCAACAGTGAGTAATCATTCAGCAGTCATGCTGTTTTGAGTGTCAGACCCCCAGCGGGCTACTAGATCCTAAGACTTGTTTAGGGTTTCTTTTGTAGACTTATACAGTGGCTGACAGTGGAGTCCTTTCTTTTCAGAATTTAGTTGTTTGCTGGAAATTGAGCTTTTGCGTTTCATAGGTTCTTTGTCCTCCTCATTTGAAAAATATTTAAATGATACTGCTCAAAGGACACACAGAGAAAACAGCGTGACTGACTTTCGGGAAATTAGTAAGCAGTAGGGTTATTTTTAGGTTTTACTCCTTGCAAACATTTCCTTTTGTTCTTTAGAAGACATTGTTGATCTGTTCATTCATTTGCTGTGCTCTCTCCCCCACTACCCAATGGCTCTGGAGAGAATAAGCCCTCTCTTCTCTACTCTGAATAACATAACTGCGTTAATTTTTATTTTATTCAATTTTAGCTCATGAATTATTCATTTGTTCATGTTTTTCTAGGTTCTGAAATACCGCCGCCGCCGCCTCCAAACACACACACACACACACACATTTTGTTATTTGGGGTTAATTTGCACCCTCATTTGCAAATGCTGATCGAAAAATATTCACACAAGCAGACTATACAAAATAGGTATTTTTGTCAAAATAATTGTATAGTGGTCGCTGATGGTGTGATTTATTCGCCTGTATTTGCTCTGTTAGTGCTTATTTAAAAACTAATCTTTAGAAAGTCATGCAGTTAGTATAACAGAATCCCAGGAACAGGATAGGTGGTTACCAAGGCTGACCTTTACACGCAGCCTCAGGTTTGGTGCTTGAAACATCTTCCAGTGTAGAGAGGAAGTAGGATTTCTATGGAAGCACGACTGAAACCTCAGTTTTGCTCTTCTTATGAAGGCAAGTTTGATATAAGACTTCTACTTTAAACAACGTCCAGGAGGATTTAGCCACTTTGTAACATCCTAATTTAACCTTTTATGTTTTTCATCTTTCTTATAAGATAGAGAGGCATTATAGCAGTTGTGGTTAAAACCGTGGGTTTCAAATCCTCATTCTCCTGTTCATGTCAGTATGTTTCAATTTGCTTATCTCAAAACAGAGATTACAGTATGTACTTCATACAATCATTTTGGAATTTGAATCAGATAATCCATGTAAAGGGCCCAGCATAATGCCTTACCTGGTAAAGTCTCAATAGATGGCGATTATGATTATTGTATCAGATTGTTTTATCTAAGTGTAGGATGTTTGTTATTTTAGAAGATTATATACCAGAAAGAGGCAGAGTATTCAGTTTTCTGGAACCTTTGCCTCTTTCCTAGAAGAACTTTTTATTGGGATGTCCTCAAACACAGGTGGCCCAATTCCAATGCCTAGTGAATTTCATTCCCTTTGGCCCTTCAGTTTTTGCAGCTCTTCATATCTAGAATCACCGCAATTATAATAGGAAGTCAAGCAAAACATTTTTTTGCATAAAGAGAGGAAGGCAGAATGTGAAATGGCGTTGACATCTGTGCTTCTGCCCTGGGCCAAAAGCAGAATCGTTCTTTGCTGCTGATTCGGCATCCCATCTGCTGCCTCCTCCGGTGCTTCGGCCCTTCCTTTCCCTTCCCTGCAGAACCCCAGGGATGATGAAGTCAGGGAGGGGTTGGGGTGTCACACATCTGTGAGGGAAACAGGACAGAGGTTCAGGGAAAGAAAACACAACGATAACGCCATTCTGCAGATGACCCAGTTGGTTTAATGCTAAATCTCCTCTGCCCGTGTCAATTTTACAGAAGTTCTGTGGATGGTGTGCAGGTTAGAAAACATCAGCCTCCTCTAGTGAATTCCCCTCTTTCTGATCAAGAGCTTTTCTGACATCTGAGTCAACAATTTACTAAAACTTCACTTTAAAAAAAAAAAAAACTTTTTTTTTTTTTTTTAACTCTTAGCCCACACCCTCAGAATAAGCCCTTTATTTTTACAAGGGATGCTTTAACTTTTGAGCATATCCTTTATTTGTCCAGGAAACACGTTTCATTCACCCCCCCTTGCTGGCTCATCCACAGCTCTAACTCCCACTGAAGTGGCTTCTTGTGTTAAGATAACCTCTTCTACCCTGTGAGGTACAACCAGGCTTTCCACAGCACAGTTATCTCAGAATCATTTAAAGTTTAGAACACAAAACATAACACACATGCGAAGGATATCTGCCTGCAGTGTTGTCATTTAACTCGTGGATTTTGATTGAAACTTGAGTAGTTAAATAATAGAGTGATGAGTGCCCCAGAAAGGCATGTATTGAATAAACAAAAGGAAGCAAACAGAAAAGAGAAGTAGGGAGAAATTGTCTTAAATCTATTCATTTTTAATGGAAAAAAATTTTTTAATATTTTTACTTCCAAAGCTTAAGGCTCGTTTTAACTCAGACCGATTTTTGTTTTCAGTTATGTTTCCTGATGATTGTTCCAAGTTTGTCTATGATTCAAAAGAATGAAATATTAATTTAACATAGAGTACTTGGTGGTTATTTTTCAGGCTGCTTGGCTACTGCATTTTGCTTTCATTTAAATTTGAAGTTATCCTAACCCTTTATTCAAAGAGGCAGTTGACTCTGATTCTGACTTAAGTTTTAGAGAGTCTTTTTTTTTTTTTAATATTTAAGTAAACTCTGTACCCTCTGTGGGGCTCAAACTCACAACCCCAAAATCAAGAGTCGCATGCTCTACCAACTGAGCCAGCCAGGTGCCCAAGTTTTAGAGAGTCTTAATTATGATTCATCACATAGGTAGTTTTCATTCAGTACTTTAAAAAAAAAAAAGAAAACACTTCTATGTTTACTTTCTAGACTGATTTTGCACGATTTAGTGGAACAAATGTGGAAACTGACTTTGTAGAGGTGCCATCCCAAATGCTTGAAAATTGGGTATGGGACATGGATTCCCTCCGAAGATTGTCAAAACATTATAAAGATGGAAGCCCTATTATGGATGATCTGCTTGAAAAACTTGTTGCTTCCAGACTGGTCAACACAGGTATGACTTGTAATTTTAGAAAAGGAAAATAGATTAGAATTGCTATCTCCTTTTAAATCTTAAATGAGATACCTTGCTCCCATTTTGTAGTATGTGCTACAGGCATCAGTTCTTGAAATCTTTGATCTTGTGATATTAGAACACATAGTTCTCTCTTCTCCAAAACATGCCCAAACATTCTTATGTTATTAGGTCTTCTGACCTTACGCCAGATTGTTTTGAGCAAAGTTGACCAGTCTCTCCATACGGACGCATCGCTGGACGCTGCAAGTGAATATGCCAAATACTGCACCGAGGTTTTAGGTGTTGCTGCTACTCCAGGTTTGTAAATACCGAGACTTGAATTCATTTTTTCTGTCAGGCTCAGGGTAAACACCTACCAGCCCTGCCAGGGAAGGGAGAGTTGGTCAGGCAGCTTACCTCATGTAATTTGTTTCTGATTCCTGTAATCAGGCCATGACTCTCAGATAAGCTTACCATGTCCATATGAGTTATCCTATCCAAATGTGCTTAAAGGAGAGGTGGCTCCCACTTTGCCCCATTTTCGCATAATCAGGCATGAGCAATTGGCCTCCGCCCCAGAGCAGAGAAAGCCATTCACATTTGGCAGTACCCACCTGGCTCCTCCCTCCGTGTATAGACAACCGACTTCCCAGTGATTTCACTAAGAAATTGGCAGAAGGGGCAATTTTAGAGAGAAGCACAAGCTTCTGCCATGTTTCTGTGTTTGGTTCTGAGATCGGTTAAGGCAGTTTAACTAGCACTTTCTAACCCAATATTTATGGCATTCATGTGGGTGGGTAGGTGCTCACACACGTGTGTTCACATTTATAGTTATATATATTTTAAGCCAACATGTAGTTGTTCATGTATACGTAGTTTGGTACGGTGACTTTTTTCACCACCAAGGTCGTTATTTAAATGGGTCCATCACATTTATAGTGGTACCGAAGGTCAGAAGAGTTAATTGAGTCAATCCAGGTTCCTCACTTCCTTTTGTGATCTGTTTAGAGTAGACCATAGAACAACTTTGTGCCTGAGGCTACTTTGACAAAAAAATCCTTTTTTAAAAGTAGCCCTAGAGATAGATTGCGTTGGTAAAACCTTTTTAGCTTTTTAAATAAAGAGTTATTTTTCAGTAATTATGAACCTAAAATAAGTGCCATTCTGACACATTTTAGATATAAAGAGGTATGACGCAGAGTAGGCTTACGATCAAAGTATCTGTAAGACACATGTGTCTAAGGTTTAAGAAAGGACTGAGTAGTTCTGAAACACTGAGCTATCTGATGGGTGTGGATAAAGCCTCTGAAACTATTGTTAGGCATTCCAGAGCTTAGGGTCGAAACCATCACCGAGGTTGAGTCATCATAGCAGAGAAGTTTGTAAACATCTTGGCCAAGAGCACAGGTAAACCCAGGGAGTACTACAGGTGAGATCCTGTTTGTCTCTTCTCCCCAGGGTCTGGACTCCCCATAGGGAAACCTTAGCCAGCTGATAACCTGATTATTAACATTGGCCATCACATTGATTGAAATGTATCTTTCTTTAAAGGCACAAATATGCCAGCCACTTTTGGACATTTGGCAGGGGGATATGATGGCCAATATTATGGATATCTTTGGAGTGAAGTATTTTCCATGGACATGTTTTACAGCTGTTTTAAAAAAGAAGGGATAATGAATCCAGAGGTATTGTATTTTCTTTTCTCCTTTTGTTTTTCAATTGCTCCCTCCCCTTTAATTCCTAGTGTAAAATATTTATTACACCTAGATTTTAGAGCAAGAGATTTGGTAACAGCTTTTAACTTTTAAGTCTTGCTTCTTTTCATATCATACATCAAGTTGTAGTGTACAAGTGACTAACTCTAATTCTGTAAGTTTAAAAAAAAAAAACCTACTGCATTTTCTTGCTTATTAACATTCCAATATATTGCATAATTAAAATTCAAAGCTTTGTTTATGCATTTGAGCATTTATAGCAGCTAGTTTTGACATGTGCCGTACAATGTTCTAGTTTTATAGGAGGTTGGGAAAGAAAGGTAAACTCCTTCCTTATAGAAATGGTCTGCGTATGTTGCGATATTCTCTACACAGATTCTTTATACATTTTCTGTGGGAGGTACCCTTTCTCTGGCTGGCATACCCCACCTACTACGTAGTTTTTAACCCAAATTCCTCTAAGTAATTTAAGCTGCTTCATTAACCTGAGCCATTCCTTTCTGTGTACAGTGAATTGGCTGCCAGGTGGCTACCAGCCAAACCTTCCTGAGTTACAGTCCCCCAGTCTCCACTCTTGTTGAAGACTCAGCTGTCAGATTATTTCTAGGGCTGATGCATTTTCCAGTGTGCTTTTTATTCTGTTTGATTCAGAAATTAGAAGAACAAATTATCAAAATCAGGCTCTTTGTGCTTCTTTTAGCCAACTGATTTGCTCCCCCAAACTTTATGTTTCTGGATTGCATAGTGCCTCACACATATACTGAAATACATTGCTGTAATTTAGATCACCATCCCCCCAACCTCCCCCACCCACCCCAGAAAAAACCACCCGCAGGGCACCTACATTCTACACTAGCCTTTCCAATCACACTATCTTCTATCCCACCCTACCCAGGCTCTTAGGTCACTGTATGCTTCCTTCCCTTCCCCGGCCAACCTATTACCTTGGTCAACCACTGACTGTGCTCATAAATATCTTGACTTTTGCATGACCTTCAGCCAAGTGCCCAGCCCTGGGTTCCTCCACCATCTCACTTAGATATGGTGCCCTTGGGATTCAGAGCTTTCTGGAGAAGATGGTGTGAGTCCATTAACATGCCCCGCTACAAAGTCATGCTATCTGACCTGTCTGGACACGCAGTGTTACTCTGCTGTCCTGTCCACCTCCTTTATTGAGTTCCCCTGAGTCTCTCACTACCTCTCTGCTCTCCACTAAGAAAAGTAAGGCCATCAAGACTGAGTACTAATACCAAGCCTTACTGGTTTGCCATCTTGGGGAAAAAACTGGGGTTATTACTACTGACTTTGACAACCCTATTGCTACTACTCGGCTGTTCTTCCTTTTACAGCCTAATTTCTCGCTGTAAGAAACAGTCTTGGCAAGCCTCTTTTATCTGGCTTTTGCCTCCACCAACTGAACTGGAAGGTTACTTTCTCTCCAGAGTTACCACTGATGACCCAGTCGCCACCTTCCAAAGGCCCTCACCTACCGTTTTTTTCTTTTTCTTTTTTTTTATTTCCTCCTTCTTGTTATTCCTCTCCTTGTTCACAGCCCTCAGCTTAGCCATCCAATCCCTTCCTTACTGCCCAGAACTCTTTGTGTCAGCCAGATGTGTGTGTTCCTGTAGCTCTTTGCACCTTCACAAATTGTTCGTTCTCTTTCTTCCACCTAAAACGTGTGCCTTCTCGTCTGTGCCACTTAAAAATTTTACCGTTCTGAAAGGCCCTACTCAAATGGCCACTCACTTTGGAAATCTTCCAAATCATTCCAACCCGAAGTGGCCTTTCCATTTTTTGAAGAGCAGAATGGACTTGGGCAGGAGGGAGGGGCTCCAACAAGCTTTTTCTTATGTCTGGAATTTTTTTTTTTTTAAAGATTTATTTATTTATTTGAGAGAGAGAATGAGATAGAGAGAGAACATGAAAGGGGGGAGGGTCAGAGGGAGAAGCAGACTCCCTGCTGAGCAGGGAGCCCGATGCGGGACTCGATCCCGGGACTCCGGGATCATGACCTGAGCCGAAGGCAGTCGCTTAACCAACTGAGCCACCCAGGCGCCCTATGTCTGGAATTTTTAATAGAACTCTTACACAGAACAGAAGAAAAAAATCAGGTTGTAGAATATTTTGTACCATAGAATGTAAATTTTTATTTTAAAATGTATGTTTAGAAAAAGAGTACATCAAAATGTCCATTCTTAGCTTCGGGTGATAACTTGATGAGTGATTATTAAATATTTTCCTATGCTTTTTGTGGAGATTTTCCTTATTTTTGCATAGAGCACGTATTAGTGCAGAAATCAGAAATCAATGATTAAAGAGACACAAGGTCTAGTTATATAAAGGTACAATTATGACCTGTTACTGGCTCTTACTAGTTGGTGAGGCTTCCTGGCCTAAGTGCTCTGGTACCTTTTTCAATTAGGCTTCCTCACTCACCTCCTCTGTGCTTCCACTCACGCGGCCACATCTCCAGTACCCTTCACCGTGACCTCTTCTCTTCCATCGGTCAACAGAACAGCCAAAGTACTGATCCCAGTGGACCCCAAGGAACTTGCAATTCCGCAGACTCAATCCCTGCCACTATGCTTCCATGTACTTCCTCTTATTCACAGCTTGGCAGGCAGCCAGACTACTTTTAATTTAGACCAGGGACCTGGGTTGAACTTGGAGAAAGCAAAATTCCCAACAACTTGGAATTGTTGCTTTGTAATGTTAAAAACAGTTTTCAGTTTTATTATAATTCTGGATTTGACATTGCTATATATTATTCATTTTACGCCGTGAAGCTAGCTTTAATCCCTTCCTTTTTGTTTTCCTGTCAAATACTCTGGGATATCATGTCATTTCTTGCTCCCCTGCTGTCACAACAGTAGTGAATCTGGCTCCAGTGACAAGGGGAATCCCTGTGCACCTCACCCTCACACTCTTCCCTGCAGTGGAGATACTAGAACAGCTTTTTAAATAGCCATTTTGTTCCCTCCTACAGTGCACTGTTTGTTTGGTTTTGCTTGCTTTAATTTTTTTTTTTTTTTTTGCAAATGTTTGCTTTAAAGTAATACCTTATTTACAAAATTCAAATACCCACTTATTAAGAGTTAGTACTTTGAGACAGTAATCCCATTCTACAAAAAACATCAGTCATTATTACAGGTTTGTTGTGACGAAGAGAAAGAATTTTGTTTGTTTATTTATTTATTTATTTATTTTTAGTAATCTCTACACCCAGCTTTGGACTTGAACTCACAACCCCAAGATCAAGAGTTGCGTGCTCCTCCAACTGAGACAGCCAGGTGCCCTGAGAGACTTTTCGTAGTATAAGGAAATACTGAATTTGATCTGAAGTCATGGGTATCACAGCAATCACAGTGTATCTGTAGACTATGTTGTCTCAAGGCCCTCACCTTCCTGAGTGTGTTTTATGTTTTTTTCCTTATCATTGAATTCTGCTATATTTTCTAGAATTACAAAGTTTTCAGTAGAAAGGGACCAGTTATTATTGCCCAGCACGGTGACTTAAAAAGATTGTTTCCCAGAGCCATTATAAAAATTCTGTAATAATAAGGATAAATAATAGACTCTAGAAACTTTCAGTAATAAACCACAGTAAAAGCAAGCAAATAAAAGGACACCTTGAAAGGAAGGAGAATTAGACTGTCTTAGATTTCTTAATAAGCATCACAATTGAGTATATATTGGTGCCACTGTAGCTATATAAGGTTGACACCTTTTTTTTTTAATTAAAGTATAGTTGACACATAATGACATGTTAGTTTCACCTAGTAAGTGTTTGAATCATTTTGAGAAGATAGTGGTGTGGCCCTTCAAGGAATCAGAGCCTGCTGTTCTTAGTCTCCAGACTCCACAGAGGCTGGAGACTAAAAGATCGTGGACTGTTGACATTATTGGTCCTGGTCATTGATATCAACAAAAGAACATCTCCAGGCCTTCTCTCTATAACCTCTTACCATCCTGCAAAGCTCAAGATCTGCTCTGAGAAACATTTGAGATCTTAGCAAGCCTAACTAGAAAGTGCCCTACTCACTGGGAAAACCATAATAGGGAGGATCAAATATAAAGCTTTTTGTTGTTGTTGTTAAGGTAATCTATACCCCCAGTGTGAGGCTCGAACTCACAACCCCAAAATCAAAAGTCAGATGCTCTACCATCTGAGCCAGCCAGGCACCCCAAACCTATATATAGTCTTCTTAATACCAAATGTAGCAATAGGATATTTTATGGTACAATGGTTTCATTCTGTTTTGAGGGCTTCTATCAAAGTGTTAGAATTGGCCACTTACCTATAATAGCCAGAAGTTTGCTACCTCTGGTTTTATTTGTGATTTTCTCTTTTCTTCATTATAAATAGATAGACCATTCTAACTATTTAGTTTGTTAAATATATTCTAAAATCTATGTTTCTAGTAGAATATGTCTCATTATCAGACATATCTTTTCCTTCTCCAGCTCATCTCTTAAATAACTATGGAAGGGAGCTGCTGGGGAATAACACTTTTCCAGCAAGCTGTAGGGGCTCTTTGAAGATAACTTTAAGGTCGCCAAATGTAGTTTCAAAATACAGCAGCTAATCATAGGGTTGAAAAAAATGGGGGCATTTTAACTAGGGCCATTTCTTTTTATAAGGCAACTTCATTGTGGGAAAATTTCTTAAGAGGTAATAGACATTGTGGATTCAAAGACAATTATATTATTAAGCTAGAATTATCTTCCACCTCTTTTGCGTTTAGAGATATTGCTAACCTTTGTTTTTCCGTCAATGAAGAAGAAATGTATTTTAATCTGTAATGCCATAAGGAAGTAGCCAGATCTTTACTTGCAATAACAGACACAGAAACATGGCGAATTTGGGGTTAACATACAAAAAAGTTACCTGACAGAGAATGTGTACTCTAAAGCTAAGCATTCCAGTGCCTTTCAATCAGAATTCTAGCCCTGGCTCCTGCTATAATGTGTTGCTAAGGGAGAATATGAAATCTCCTCTCCTGCACGTCCTTCCAAATGGATTAACTTCTGCTTCAGCTCTCCTGATATACCACCCCAAAACTGATTTTTCTTACACTTCAGCCTTTTCTAACAGACTTAGATTTTGCCTGATTTAGGGATAAAGGAAGGAAATGGGATTGATTTCCAGCTTACTTCTTGCATATTTACAAGGCCAGACCCTCTAAGTCTTGAATCCCAACCAACTAGAAGCAGTTTTTCTTCCTCCATGTTCTTACAGCCCTTCTCTGTATTTCTCTTTGAACCCTAATAATCTACATTGTTAATTGTCTATTCCTTCATCTCACATCCTAGATCATAAGACCCCTGTAATAGGAGCTGTTTTATTCACTTTTGTGTGTCCTCTGCTTCAAAACTGTTATATTTAATTATGGTCGTTCTCCCCAGTACATACTACTGCCCAGCCTGCTTTTTTTTTTCCCCCTCATCTCCCTCCCCATAAATAAAGATCTGTCCTTCTACCCTCACAAATTGAAACTTTGCTTAAGGTTTCCAGAAGGCCTCTTCTAATGAAGCAAAGATTCCTACCCACTGTCCTCATTTCCATCTCCCTGACTACCAGCACCAGTCTCTGACTCTCTTCCTTTTCCTGTGTTGTTGTCCAAGGTGTTCCTTTTCCACCCACGATCTCCCCACCATCACAGAAAACAAAGGGTGTGCCGTTGGGAAGGAGTTCACAGATGGGATGTGGAAGGAAAGGTTTCAAAGTCCACCTTTAAAGCTGCCCAGTGAGCCTGCTGGATGCCTGATTGTCGTCACCTGTGCTCTTTGCCCTGATGCCTGTTCCTCAGAGTAGGAAGGAGACAACTCTGGCTCTGCTCCCCAGACTCAGTCACAACAGGAAGGAGGGAGGGTTGGAAGGCAGTGGAAGTTGGCATGTGCTGCCTCACAGATGCCAGAGATAGCAAGAGACCCAGGTTATTGGCTCTTTACATATTCTCATTACTGATAGATGATGGCATCCTTCCTTCAGGTCATTATATTGTTCTTAAAATATTACCTCAAGGGGTGCCTGGGTGGCTCAGTCAGATGAGCATCCAACTCTTGATTTCAGCTCCTGTCGTGATCTTGGGGTCACGGGATTAAGCCCCGGGTTGGACTCCCTGCTCAGTGGGGAGTCTGCTTCTCTCCTTCTCTCTCTGCCCCTACCCCTCCCACTCGTGCTCTTTTTCTGAAATAGATAAATAAATCTTTTAAAATAATAAATAAAGAAAATATTACCTCAAATAAAGGGTACATATTCTTAGATCAAATGAGTGCCTTGTCTCTCCTACTTAATATTCCTACTGAATTAGGGAATCTATTTCTTCTTAATAATGGAGATGAAGTCTCTTGTGATTTTTTTAGCTTTATTAGGAGACAGAACTAATTTTAAGGAGATGCCAAGCCAGGAATGCATCCGTGTCCCTGCTCTGTACGTGAGACACTGAACGTAGGGCCAGTGAGAGAGGGGCGGAAATGAGTGGAGAGATGGATGACCACTGAGGATTACTGAGTGCCCCTGGATGCCATGTGTTACACTAGGGAGTGGGCAGTGTACTGAAATCATCTCTAATTCCCCATCGACTAAGTGAGGGAGGCATATTCCTTCTTGACAGGTAAGGAAACCAAGGCCCATGGTCACAGAGCCGAGGGTGAAGCCAAGATTCGAATTTGGCCCTGACTCCCAAACTCCTGACCTTGCTTTAGAAAACATCATGTTAGAGAGGATTTGCACAGTTGCCAATAGATACACTCTAATCTTCCAGGATTAAAAACCACACAGGTGACTAATGTGACTTACCTTCATGGAATAGTTAATAGAAGCTCTTACTATCTGCAGATCGTCCTGAAGGATTTTTTTCAGCATGAAAAATCTCCATGGTTGTCTTAGAACTTCTTTTTGCTTTCCTCCCAGTTCAAGTTTCTTTATTATGTAAACAAACTAGAACAACTTAGGGCAAAGACTCCTTCCATCTGTGGCATATGTCTCCCAGACGGTGTTCTCTCACCCAGAGAGCCGGTACCTTCCGAAAACACAAAAACTCACTTAACTTTTCTTTTTTTGTTGGTTTGTTTTTTGGTTGGGTTTTTTTTTGTTTGTTTTATTTTTAAAGAAAAGCAAGATCCTATTACCAAAATGACTCTTAAACTGTTCTCCAAACTTCATTGCGAAGGAAATGAAACTATTAAAAGACCATTGCTCTGTAATTCAGGAAATTGAATCTACTTGTTTGGAGCTGTGCTCAGGGCAGGACTGGAGCTGTGCTGAGCCGCGTACCGTGCGTGAGACAGAATAGCACCCGGCTCCACGGTGGCTGGACTGTTTGGAGGAGCCCTGAGCCGCTTCTGCACAGTGTCGGGCAGCTCCCTCAAGGGCCTCTTTTCTTTGCTCCCTAAAACCACAGTCCTCTGTAACAAATGACACTGTTTCGTGAGACATCAGCATTGTGGGAGATTTATTCTTTACCTTAATCTAGATTTTTGTTGACGTTCCTGTAATATTTGTAGAACGAAATAGGTCTTTTTGATAAGTAAAAGAGTCTCAGATCTTGAGCATTAAGAATTCCTGCAGGTAGGGTGCCTGGGTGGCTCGGTTAAGCGACTGCCTTCGGCTCAGGTCATGATCCTGGAGTCCCAGGATCGAGTCCCACATCGGGCTCCCTGCTCAGCAGGGAGTCTGCTCCTCCCTCTGACCCTCCCCCTCTCATGTGCTCTCTCTCTCTCATTCTCTCTCAAATAAATAAATAAATTCTTTAAAAAAAAGAATTTCTGCAGGTAAATATTAATTATGGAGGTTGGATGGTGGGTACATAGGGTTCATGATACTGCTGTCTCTGCTATTAGTATATACTTACATTTTTTTCCATTAAAAAGGATTAAAATATTTTTGTAATTCTGCACATGAATTTAATTCACGTTTTCTAAGTCCTTCCTGTATCCCTACAGTCTTTCTTCCCCAGCCTGCCCAGTCCCCCTGCTGATTCAACACTGTAGGCAAATGTAAGCACATTGGGCAATGAAAGAAGGGGAAGGGAAGGAGACTGTGTTGGGCTCAAGACCCCTGAGCTGCTACTTCTTAGAATAATAAAGTCTCTGGCAGGAGTAGGCATCATTCACATTTTAGGTTCCCTGATTGCTGTCCTAACAGTCATAAATTGCTGCAGACCAAGTAAGAAACTACACATCATTTTTTTTCCCCTAAAGAACGTTAAATCTAGATCTAAGCCTTCATTACCGGGTTTTCAGGAATTCAGATATCAGTGATTACAGACCCTACCCTTTTTAAGAAAATTAATCCAAAGTTTATAAATAAAGCAACAAGATTACTACATGCCTTTTCAATGTCAGACTAGAATATTGTCTAACAAGCCCTTCTAAGGATCATTGCGTGTTCTAGGCCCTCTCCACCTGTCCACGGTGGTAGCCACCTGTGGCTGTCAAGCACCTGAAATGTGGCTAGTGCCACTGAAGAATTGGGTGTAAAAATAAAAAAAACACTAGATTTTGATGACCTACAACAAAAAGTAAATCGCAGTGATTTTTATATTGATACATGTTGAGATAATGTAGATATAGTTGTTAAAATATTTTATTTAAAATTAATTTTACCAAGGGTCTTGTTGTTGTTGTTGTTTGTTTTACTTTTTAAAAAAAGCAGGGAGTCTGCTTAAGGTTCCTCTCTCCCTCTTCCCCTCCCCCTGCTTGCTCGTGCGCCCTCTCTCTCCCTCTAAAATAAATAAATCTTTAATTAGTCATATTGATCAAATGATACAATGGATATACATTTCAAAGTGTTACTCTGTGAAGTATTTATTTTATATGTATATTTAGAATTAGGCTTCATGAATTGTCTTGCTTTGCTTCCCCAAAAGATATTGATGAAAAGGAAGTGAAAATATTGAATAGCACTGATTCTGCATTGCCATCGTTTTCTTTCACTTATTTGCTCATATATTTATGTAAATAAAGGCAGAGTAACTGCAATGTGTTTTAAAATTCCAGACCTCCTCCCCAAAGAGGACTTTGCACAAAGGTCCTTATTCCCAGCTCTGGGCCCACAGAAATACCTTACCCTACACCATGGGACCTGTGCTGTTCTCCCACTATCTTTCATAAAGATGAGGGGTTTTCTATAAGCCCCTCGTAAAAACATTTGGCCGTAGTTGTGCCACTGTTTACAGGTACACAGACCCCCTGTTTGTGGCCTTCTTGAACACTCGCTTTGCTAACCCTTTAAAATAGCACGGAGAGATGGGCTAACAAATAAGAATCTGTTATACATTCCATTTGGCTATTTTTTGTTCATCTGTTTGCTCACTGTTGAGACTCTAAGGAGACAAGACAATAATAAAGAGGAATGTAGAAGACCAGAGTTTGTAAGCTTCAGATCTCATAGCTACCAAAACAAGTAAGTACTACTACAGAGCTGTAGTCTAGGCAAAAGAGAATATCCAGAGTAAAGTCCCTTTTTCTTCACCCTTATCCCTTTCTCTTTTTGCATCTAGGGATTTGGAAAATTGCTTTAACAATGAATTATTAGGCATGATGTTTTATTTTATTAGGTTGGAATGAAATACAGAAACCTAATCCTGAAACCTGGGGGATCTCTGGACGGCATGGATATGCTCCAGAATTTCTTGAAACGTGAGCCAAACCAGAAAGCGTTCCTAATGAGTAGAGGCCTGCATGCTCCTTAAACTGGGGATCTTTGGTAGCAGTCCATGTCTGGAGGAGAAGTTGACATCGCCATGTGTTACTGGCCTGGAAACTGAAGGGAGTTTTACAAATGAAAGTTTAGATTTCTATTGACTGCCTTTTGTTTTTCGCTTTGAAAAATTTTGCAGACGTAAATGGAACTATAAATACCATGACCTAAGCAAACACCCATTAGAAAATAATTGTACTATAAAATTTCATAAAAATGGATTTGATTTCTTTTTATAAAAGTTTCATATGAATGTAATTTGATTTTTTACTATTGTACTCTAGATAATATAATGTAAGAGGGCTAAGAATTTTTAAATTGAATCATATACATTATATAATTTGATCCTTCTTATATCGCAAAGCTTTGTACTTGAGATTTCTGGACTGATAATGAATCATCACATTCCTCTGGTAAATATTTTCTTGGAGCCCTGCATCACCTTTGACCCTCTGTCTCATGGTAAAGTGTGACCTCTTTGCCCACATACCTCAGGGCCAGGGGAATATGCCTCAGTAATGCATTTATCTTTGCATATCAGGTCTTACGATTTCCACCTTTCTGCCACACTTAAATTATGTTCCGCCATTGGGGTTTATCTTTTTTAAAGTCCTGTCAGAGAGTACCAAAAAAAGTACGAGTCTTAACTGAACTGGCCTAATGTGTATTGTTTCTGTATCTGGTGTTAGAGGATTTTCGATCTTGTATTAGAGGTTCCTTTCCACCTCAGCATATGAAGATTGTTAGTCTTTCGACATATTTGCCAACTAGCGCACTAAAGCAAGTCCAAGGATATGTTTCTTTTCTCATGTTCTGGTAAGTGGTAGGGACTTTGCCTCCTTTATCTCCTCCACGGTGGCAGATAAACATGTCACAAATGGCAGTGTAGTGAAGAGAGCTAGAGCTGATGTCAGGCAGAAAGAGTTCAGAAACTCCAGAAGAGGAGTAAGTTCTGGACAGAAGTGTTTGAGGACGGCTGATCCGAAGTGTCATGTGTTCTTTAACTCAGCCACAGGGAGGAGGCTCTTCATAGCCTATCTTGTCTGGTGATTTTTATTTTAAGTGAACCTTTGGATCTCTCTTTAACTTTCTTTTTTATGAGTCTAACTTCTACTTCTACGGCAGACCAATAAACTTACAGTACTTACTTTTCCCTAGGAGCCTACTCAATAAGGAAACCAAAACAGGATAATAAAAAAATTTTAATTAAAAAATCCAAACTCTGAATGTACTCTGATAGGTCTTCCAGTTGTTTTCCACTATGTATCTGAGGTATGACTTTGCTGGTGAGGTACAAAATTAGACAAATGGACTGTGTGCTAAATAAAAACATGTATACATATGTTTATTATGCTGCATAATAAAATTATAGACAGTGGGAAAAATTAAGAGCTCAGACAACACAGAAGAAAATTCTAAGATTATTATTGCCAAGCACATGCATTAAACATGCACATGAAATCTTACCCTCCCCCTGAGACAATTGCGTGGCCCTTCTCTCCCCCAAAGTAGTTTTTTTTTTTCTAACTTGTGGTACTTTTCTCATATCTTTTGTTTTTCCCCCAGACTGTTCTGTTTTCCAGTTTCAGACAAAAACTCTCTTCAGCTTTTTCTGTTGCCTTTCTGTGTGTCGCCTTAACAATAACTTTATCACTCTAAATCTTACTTCACATGGAAAAATAATACTTGGTGTGAAAAAGGCTGCACACAATAAAGTTGCATTATTATCCATGACAGTGAGCTCACATTTCTTTCATACTTTAATGTTAAAACTGAAATGCATAAGAAAACAAAAGCTCTATGATGTTCTTTTTATTTGAAGTCCACATCTGGGGCGCCTGGGTGGCTCAGTCGTTAAGCGTCTGCCTTCGGTTCAGGTCATGATCCCAGGGTCCTGGGACTGAGCCCTGCGTCGGGCTCCCTGCTCCGCGGGAAGCCTGCTTCTCCCTCTCCCACTCCCCCTGCTTGTGTTCCCTCTCTTGCTGTGTCTCTCTCTGTCAAATAAATAAATAAAATCTTTAAAAAAAATAAAGTCCACATCTGATATTTAAAATCTTCCAAAGCATAGCAGTAAATTCAAATACTTATTCTTTAGCATAATTCAAAACTAAGGACTTATTTTTTAACGTCTTTTTGAATATAGCCATTCATCTATTCTTTTTCTTTTTCTTTTTCTTTTTCAGATCAGAGCATAGAGTGTTGGTAAGGCATTTTGAATGGTGGATAAACTATAAAAATTGTCATTAGCCAACTTACACTTCAGATTTGTGAACTGAGCAATGTATAATAAAGTCTCTCTCTTGATTATTGATCCAGGAGATTTAGGGATGTTTTGGGTAACTACAGAGAAGAGAAAGAAAAGGCATGATGTTATGCCGCCTAACATAGACTTTTTTCCCTTTAGTAGGAATGCTGCATGTTACCTAGATGAATTAACTAAAAATTATCTTGAAGAGTTATCACCTGAGCTATTTACGTGAAAATCTTGCTTTTCTAAAGCTAATAGGATGACAGGTAAATATCTGTAGCTCTGTAGAACTGACAAACTGCATTGTGTAAGAAGGCAAAATAGAGAAAATATTTTTTAAAAAATTTTTAATTGATATGATTTTGTACTTGTACTTTCCTTAACTAGTAGGGAATGACTTAACTTTCTACTTTCTCATTTTGCCTTTAGCCTTTGTATATGAATTAATGTGTATAACAATCCTGCCTCCTCAGTGGATCCTCTGGTTTGTTTATGACCATTTTTCATTTTTTCCTTTGCTGTCATGCACAAGAAGAAATTTTCATGCTCTGAGGGAATTGAATTAAAATTGGGTTTAGCCATGGTTAACTGAGCCCCTAAAAGTGTTAAAAGAGAAACCCTCTTTCATCTGAATAGATGCAATGACCAAGGCTTCTTTCTTCTCTCAACACAGCATTATTACAGTTATGTGTCTGCCATCTGAAATTGGCTAGCCCCTCAAAATCAAATATGCCTTCTCTTATGAATGTTTGGTGAGAATAAAAGCAAAAAAAAACAAAAAACAAAAACATGCTTTCAGTTTCTTTGAAAAACCATCAATGTCCAAAGTTTACTTTTTCATTTGTCATTCATGGAGAAATTTACATGGGAAACACATCCACCTAAGTACCAGCTGTTATCAAAGGCAAAGGGTAAAGTTATAAAATCTAAATACTAGATCAATGTAGCCTTTTCTGACACACCCACAATAAGACTTAAGATTTTGTCTGAAAAAAATCTTGACAATTGGGGTAATGAACAGAACCCCTCTCATATCCCTCTCCAGTGAATGATTCTTGAGTTTTTATTTGGCTGAATTTACCTCATAGTTGCCTTTCCTAATAAAATACAGATCCAGTGCATCTGGTCCACTGTGTATGTTCAAGAAAAGGGAAATGACACAGGCTCTCTTGTTTCTGCTCACATGACCTGGCACCCATTCTGGCTGCTTATTTCATAGACCTTGGAGGCTCACCTAAAATTTTACTGCAATGATAAAATGTCCCTAGCGTTTGTTGTCAGAGAAACTGTTTGGCTTAGGCTGGTTTAAAGGTACCAGATTCATTGACTCCAACAAGATACTTGACATCTCTTGAAATCTTTGTGGCTTAGATGGACAATCAGCCAGGTGGATTCCTAGCTATTGAAACAACCTAAGAGAGTTGAACAAGGGTTCACATGAGACTGAAGGAAATTTCCAATCCTTTGAATGAAGACACAAGAAATTCCATAAAGGGTATTATCAAATTTACAGATAACAGATCTGCAGTGGTTAAATAGGATCTTATTAAGATTTAAAATCATTTCAGTGCTGAGGCAAATTTAAGATGAAATTGGACACACTCCATTACCAAGGTGAACGGAAGGGAAACTTGACAGTGGTACTCAGGAAAAAAATACACCGACAGTTTTTTTGTTACCAAATTCCAAATTGGTTTTCCCGCAGTACAGCACACCGAGGAGGGGAGCAGGAGGTAAGAAAGAAAGTCTGTAAGAGGGGGCTGGTGGAAGGCTGTGTCCAGATCAGAAGAGTTCCTCTGGACTCACAGGTGCTAAGATCAGTCACAGCTAGAATATCGTGTTCTGTTCTAGGTGCCACATTTTAAGCAGACTTTGGCCAAGTATTACGGTGTGTGAAAGAATAGGAACAGGAAGGTGATGACTGTGAAAATATTTCTCAAGAGGAATACATTGAAGAAAGGGAAGTGCAGCCTGGAGATGAATTCAGAAATACAAATGATGGCTGTGTTCCAACATTTAAGGGTATGAGAGAGAAGATAGGATTATTCCGCATTGCTCCAGAAGCCAAAGCTTAGAGAAATGGTTGGAAAATACAAGATTTTAGTTCAATATGAGGAAGTGGTTTCTAATAATTATTGCTGACTGCAAATTCATCCTGCTGCTGTTAATGAGGATTCAAAGCCTGTGGCTTCCCAGAGTGTTATGGAGGGAATTCCTCCTTTGAGTAGACATTCATTACACATCAGCTTTGAGGTCTCCCCAAAGTTTAAGACGCAACAAACCTGTAATCATTAGAAAGACCTCACTCAGGTGAAAGAAACGTTTACATGCTTGGTCTTAGAAATGGCATGTAGATGGTTGTAGCTACTCATATCACAGAGATAGAGTTGAAGCACTTATAGTTCAAGTGTTGCCTTACTCCTCATCTGTAATTAGTCAGTGCTTATCCAGAGGTTATTATCCGACTCCTTGTGGGTAATCTGGGAACAGGATGGGAGGCTAATAGTTGTATATGACCATAATAAAACCAAAGGTTCTTGCAATTGCATTTTCTTCCTTTACAGAATTTATAGTTGCTCTCTGCTCATTCCACCCATCATTACCTTCATTACACATACACAGAGGCAAAAATCTAACTCAAATACCCAGTTCATTATGCACACGCTCCACCTTAGTAGGATTTGAGTCATTGTTTCTAGCCCCTGTCCTCCGCAGTCCTTGACTCAGTGAGTAGTCCCTAAATGTTTGTTAAATAAACATACCTTCTTGGGCCACCTTGGTGTCTCAGTCAGTTGAGCGTCCCACTCTTCATTTTGGTTCAGGTCACGATCTCAGGGTCCTGGGATCGAGCCCCACATTGGGCTCCACACTCAGCAGGGAGTCTGTTTGAGGATTCTCTCCCTCTCCTGCTCCTCCCCCCACTCACGCACTCTCTCTCTAGAATAAGTAAATCTTGGGCGCCTGGGTGGCTCAGTTGGTTAAGCGACTGCCTTCGGCTCAGGTCATGATCCCGGAGTCCTGGGATCGAGCCCGGCATCGGCCTCCCTGCTCGGCGGGGAGCCTGCTTCTCCCTCTGACCCTATCCCCTTTCATGCTGTTTCCCTCTCTCTCTCTCTCTCAAATAAATAAAATCTTAAAAAAAAAAATAGAATAAGTAAATCTTTTAAAAAAATACCTTCTTTAAAACTTTTTTGCTGTCAGGCTGTTTTTTACTGTAATAACTGCACAGTATAGGTGAATCTAAAACTACATAGATAAAAAATTTTTTACACCTTCCATATGAAGAGACCCTTTTCCTTAGAGACAAAGACTTTCTCCATGAAGTTTAGATGAAAGAAACGTGTTTTTTGTGAAAGAAAAATTGGGGAATAGGAAATATTTCTAAAGATTCTTCCATTTCTCTCTGTGATCATGTACTCTAAACCTAGGAATTTCTTAGTCTAGAATCTCTTGTTCCCTAGAAGATCTACGAAAAGAAGAGAGAAAGCAGACCTCCATGATTGCCCAGAAATTCGATTGAAATTTTTGTGTATGTGGATATGTGTATTTTTCTGGGAAAAGGATCCCTAGCATTAATCAGAAAAACTTAAGGACAATCTTAAACAATTTGCTTTCAAACTGTTATTTTTTAATTCATTTTGAAGACTATCAAGTGCCATTAGGCACTGTGCTTGGCTACTGAGGAACCAAAAAAAAATGACAAAAAATCCTGAGCTCAAGTTGCTTGAATGTAGTGGGGAAGACAAATACATTTATTTATTTATTTTTTAAGATTTTATTTATTTATTTGACAGAGAGAGACACAGCAAGAGAGGGAACACAAGCAGGGGGAGTGGGAGAGGGAGAAGCAGGCTCCCAGCTGAGCAGGGAGCCCCATGTGGGGCTTGATCCCAGGACCCTGGGATCACGACCTGAGC